GTTGTAATAATACTTCGCCCATAAGTCATCATTAGGTATATATACATATATAATAGGCGTATATACTGCAAAGATAGGTCAAAGGTCAATAAAACAGTTTCTGGTTGATATTGAGAAATTATTCTGTTTTAATGTATTAATGCGCATGTTGTAAATATTTTGTTAAAAAAAGCAACTCTATACGACCAGTGGTTGCCAAGAAATTACAATCACCCAAAGTTGAGGTCAAAGGTCAAAAACGCAATTTCCGGTCATTTCTAGAGAAAATTGTCCATTATAGTAAATATAAATATGCATGTTTTAAACATTTTGCTGCAAAAACCAACTCTGTACGACCAGTGGTTTTCAAGATATCGCTCTCTATATTTCCACCCCTAATTTGCATATTTATGCTAATAAGGTCGGCAAAATGGCACTTCCGGTCATTTTTGAAGAAAATGTTCCATTAGGGTAAATAGAAACATGCATGTTCTGAACAACTTTAAAAAGCAACTTTCTACGACATGTGGTTACCAAGATATAAGTACCCTACATTTTCAGACCTAATTTGCATATTTCAGCTAATTTGCATATGAAGATGAGCGTAAAAAAATTGGCGACTCATTTTATTCGATTCAGCATACTTCAAAGCATATAATTAAAAAAAAAAAAAAAATGATCACGAAATTCCCACGGGATGACATAAGCCACCGGACTATATAGCGCGTGCCGCTGATGCAAAAACGTAGATTTCAAATAAAGTTATTATTATTATTACAATTGAAAGTCAATTTGAATTGTTTTCATATACAAGCATTGCTTAATTCTTCAATTTAAAGCCCTCTTCCAGTGAAGGAGGTTGTCAACTGTAAGTGATTGATTAATGATCATTCGTAAACATGAGACGCTTAGTAACAATGGCGCCACTACATAAACATAAACTGAGAATTGTTATTGCAAATTGAATACTCATGGATACTATAAGATAAATCCACTTTAATTTAATAATAATAATGAGAAAAATGCTAGAAAACATATTAAACGTAGCAAATCAGTTTTATTAGAACAATTTGATAATAAACGAGCAAAATGAAAATTCCATGCACTGCATTGAAGGAAGCTCATTTTCGAATCAATATTCTCGAATGATTTCCACCTTAAAGCATGTCCTCTATGCTCAAAGCCTACAATAGCAAGCGATGGCGCCAATGTGGAAGGGGTAAGCGAAAATACAAAAGCCACCGATCCGTAAAATGGAAGAATACAGGAGTGATCATTAACAACCCGACGGGACTACCAAAAATTAAACAAATGAATGTCGCACTTCCAAGTTAAAAACAGTCGCCATGAACATGATGATGATTATTTAAAAAAATCTAGTGTTTCAATAATTTTTGTTCAAAGCATGCTACAAATACAGTGGCTTCGTTGTTACAGAGTGTGGCAGGGATTATTGCAAAGTTCAAAAGCTTTATTACAAGATGCGACAGCTAATAGTACGCAACGATTATTAAAATTGCTATATGCAATCTCTACAACTGAACTTACATTAAATTTTATATACAAAGCTAAAGAATTTCTGCGAATTCCATGTTGTTGCTATGTCAACGGCAGAGCCTAACCGCCCGACAAACCATGCTTAAAGTGAATGTCATAGTCTTTCAGAGGCAATATTTTTTGATAAACATTCAGAGTAATCATAGAATAGGCTTCATTCCCGATGTTAATAAGTACTTTTACTCTTCTATGACAAAAGCCAATTAGAATTTCAACTAGGTCTATGTTCTAATTTTTATGTCAGTTCGATGACAATCGCCTTCTGCGAGGCCGTCAGTTATAGATCGTTTGTATTGAGAAACGTCATGTAGCTCTGATGCTAAAATAATATTTACCCTTCACTCTACTGTTGTAACTCAATTTCTGGCTTTCTTTTATTTTATAGTAAATTTTCTCATTGAATATATTTTTTGTAGATTTGTGTTAGTGAAAAATGATTATAATTATTATTAGCAATATTTTAAACGAGAAAATTAGTGAATCAAAAAATCCTCATTCTAGTAGAGCGGCTAGAGGAGAATAATTATGCACTATTGCAACAAAGCATGAAACTTCACCCACTGGTAATATGACACATACTGATCGAAAAAAAAATGTAACTCAAAAAGTAACGCCGCCTAGTTGCTGCCATCTTGAAATTCAAAATGGCTGCCAAAATATTTTTATCAATATCTTCATATCTACAACACTGTAATTCAAAGGTCTTTACCCATGTTTTCAATACCAGGGAATACCATGTGTAATCATCAAAAATTATGTAAGATGGTCGCCATATTGCAAAACTAAATTGAATAACATTTACTATTTTCCCTGCTGCAACCAGATAAGCTTTTGTATGAGCGTTTCAGTCAGTTGTATGAGAGAAAGTGCCTGGGGGTTAAATCTTCACGTATATCCTACAGGTCTCCGTGGTACCTAGTGGATATGACACTCGCCCTGACAGCGAGAGGTTGTAGGTTCGAATTCCGCCAGAGACACTTTTTATCATGCAACTGAATTTTTTAAAAAAGGAAAGTTTCGTTGAAGGGCTATGCTTGATACAATTATAAAATCTTGTTCCTATTTGAGCACTGTTATTATATATTATTTATAAATGATGCCAAATGAATAAATAAAATACGGTATATATGCGTGTATATATATATGTAATACTGTAGAACAACAACATAGCCAGGAGACGATGTAACTTCTCTGTTGTCGTTTATTTGTTCGAAAACGCCAAAAAAACCATAATCCAGAAACTGACGATTACTTTGTTACAAAACAAAACCCCCAGCTTGACCAGGCACTGTATGCACAATATGCCAAGCTAAAAAGAATAATAAAAGTCATTAGCCTATGATTACCATAGCACAACATCGTGTAAAAACATAACATACAATATAACCAATTAACTGCGAGGTACAAACTTAACTGGCCTATAGTATTAGTTATTGCATCTTTCTTTATGGGAAACCTTAGGTTTTTATCATAAATAAATGCATACTCTATTCTTTAACCAATGCACAACTATATGCGCGTGCATTCACATTACCAGAGCAGGAAATAATTATCTTGTCTATTGCTTGTTTACAGCTCAGTGCTAAAAACCCGGCAATCTAACATTATGACCATAATACATGTTTAAGACATGCTCTATAAACAACATCAGTCCTGTGATACAGGCTAGAAGCATATTATTATTTTAATTCACAAACAATATAAAAAGTAAAGAATCATTATGAATAACATAGCTAAATAAAGTAAGATAATACATAATAAGCTTAAGTACAAGAACTCTTTATCCCACCTTGGATTACAGTGCTTCACAAGGAACCATATAATAATCATGTATCATAATTCTTTGTCTGCTATAGCTCCTGTCAGAGACAATAAAAAAATACAAAATGTATTCGTGATTTCCTAAATGCAATATACAGCTACTGCTAATGCATAACCTCTACGTTAATAATCATTAACATGCAACTACTATATTAAAAATTGTGAGTTAACCAATTATAACCGTGTATTAATAATTATGGTCTTTACTTCATCCTTAACAAGTTAAATACAAAAGAATTACCACTCTTTAAGTTAGAAGACTATCTTTTCTGTAAATTAAGTATCAACGAACATCACAAAGTGGCAGTCATTATGTCAAATACGGTTATTAAAGAGTATTATCATATCAATAATAGTATTTACAAAGCTTGTAAAACAACACAGCATTACAATGGTCAACTAGGCTTGGTTCGATGACCTCTGTCATGGTTTAATCCGTCCATGTGATTGTGAATTATTAACAACAAAATTACAAATAAGAATTATGCCTTACTGCAAATTGTAAGGCCACCAATGTGTGATATTATACTACGATAAATTCAAAAAAAAAAAAAAAAAAAAAAAAACCGTCACCGGAAATCACAGTACAGCTTATTTATTATTCAATGAAATTTTACATTTTGGAAATTTTGTCGAGGTTTCCTTCCCCGATCACGATGTATTCCAAGCATCATGAGGATATCTAAACGAGCATTTTGTCTTAGTAGAACGCATCACTGTGTTTCATGCAAAAGTGCAACATTCTACCTGAGATTCAACCTTAGCCGCCCTACTATTGTAATAAGAGCCTAGAAGGATGATGTACCGGTATGTATTTCTTTTAGATGTTTTTCTCACGGCCAAGAGATCCACTTCCTTCCTTTCAGAGTTTACATAGAATTATCAATTATGCCTTGTGAAGAAGCTCTATGAGAATTTAAATAAAAATGATGATGATAATTATGCTGATGAGGAGGAAAAGGAGGAGGATGATCAAGATATGATGGTGATAATGATAATGATGATGATGATGATGATGATACTAATGATGATGATGATGATAATGACGATGACGAAGATGATGACGATGATGATGATGATGATAAAGATGGTGATGAAGAAGATGATGATATTAATGATGATGATGATGATGATAATGATGATGATCATTTTTAGAGTTGTCATTATGGTTCAATGTTTAACAGAATAATAATTCAATATTTTAATTAAGTGCAAATCCGTGTGAGAAATAATTGTTTCTGTATTTAATTGTACTGTACTTTGATGGACATTTGTCGCAGCTTGCGTCAATCATTTTAATTCTTGATGTAAACTATGATGTTGTATTTACTCCCTCGAAAGGTGACAATGATATTGACTTTTTTGATCAATATTACATGGCAACAGGTTGTAATAAAACATTGCTATTACCTTAATGAACATCTGTGGAAAACATATAGGACTAGGTTTAACACTTTTCCAAATAGTTTAGCTCATAAAACAAAGCTTCAATTGAATAATAATAAAAGTACATATTATAATTTTAATGTCTGCTATAACAATAAAGCTTACGTCTTGTTCATAAAATGCTTCGTACTGTCTTATGTAAACCGTTTGGTAGCCATGTTTATTGATATAATTATTATACGATAGTAATAATATTATATAACAATAATGATAATTTTAAAAGTAAATAATATTAATAATAATAATAATAATAACAATAATAATAATAATAATAATAATAATAATAATAATAATAATAATAATAATAATAATAATAATAATAATAATAATAATAATAATAATAAGGTTTTGTTAGCGAGGATCTTCTCTGTTTTGACTTAAAGTACAAGTAGTCGAGTATTAAATCTAGTTATTTTTATTCATTAAATTCTCTGAAATAATCAATGTTTTGTGACCATTTATATAAAATATAACGTTTCAAAAATGTCGAGATTGTTGGAGCGCAGATAAGTTATAGGCCTATACTCAACTATTTGCATTAGACTTGTTTAACATGCATCACGTCGCCATACTTTAATTCTTATAATTCAGATCCGCATGTATTTAAAGGTAACATTTAAAAAAATGTATGCCAGTAACGAAAGGCCAACCATCTATTATTCTGGCATTTACGGCTGTTTTACTGTATGCATTCCTGTACAAGAGGATTGCAATGGAAGTCAATTTTGCTGGGATGTACAATATATTGCCACAAGAGGTTAAACATTAATTTTGATCAAATATGTAGCTCTTTTGTAAAGAACACTGCAAGCATCCGATATATCGAGGGCCTTGTAATCGGACCATCAGTTTAAGTTTATTTTCTATAGAACGTGAGGAATATGTGACTGTTTTCCTTATCTCGCCAAAAAATACTATCAAAATAATGATATTAATACTTATGTCTGTTATTTGATATTTTATACAAGAATCTAAATAACTATTTTTTTACATGTAAGTTCAATACATTGTTCGATAGTGCATAATAGCATTTAGCTCTATGGCCTGCCAGAAAGCAATGATATACATTAACCTACACATGGTATGTCTACATTAGTTTTAAGTGTTTTAGTAGGCTTGGGCCTAATCTTAAACGATAAACATAAACCATACAATTTTAGCAATTATCGATAGGCCTACATCAACACCCAAGCAAATTCTATAAGAGAGCAAATAGGAAGTTTGGCAGGAAAATATGAAAGGATATATTTACACACTAGGTCAGCCTTCAATTGATATCTATCCAGTGTTATAATTCAAAGTACGCAACATAGATCTACAAGCAAATGAGCATGTCTAGATGTAGGGCACACTGTGGCGATGATTTTGCTTTTATGAAATTATGTCATACAAAGATATTAAAAATAAGATTAATACTAAAACACTAGAGCTCTAATTGAATATTATAAACTTAAACCATGCTATTCCAAATCACAGGTTAACTACAAGTCTGTACTGGGATTAATATTTGGATGATTAGTTATTGCAAAAATCATGCACGTGCTTATTTTACGAATTGGAAAATACTACAAAATTGCTATTTAACTAGAATATTGTTCAACAAGATAGGAATTGTAACTTCTGTCACGGAGGTGAGCTGATTGCATTTGATATTTGTTTTAGTTTTATGTCCTGAAGTCAGGCCATTTTGATGTGAATTATTTACTAAGTTATCTTGGTTATTACTAGAAAATGTATGAACCTATAAACTTGTGGTGTTATGTTTTGATTAGAACGATGATATTTGAAATATCAAATTGGACAGTAGACTTCAGAGAGGTTCTCAATTATGTCGACGTAAGTATGGAAAACATGCAAACCTTCTACATGTTGTTAACAAAGATCTATCTTTATGGACATTACAAGTAATACATTAAACATAACACCGATATGGAAACAGGTTAGTAACAAAAATAAATATTAACAAAATAATAGTCCACACATTAAGCGCCATGAGCACATTTTTTTTTAAGAATGCAACTCTATACAACTCTACACTATTATTATTATTCTTATTATTATTATTCTTATTATTATTATTATTATTATTATTATTATTATTATTATTATTATTATTATTATTATTATTATTATTTATCATTATTATTATTATTATTATTATTATTATTATTATTATTAATAATATTAATATTATTATTAATACTTTCACCAAATTTTATGTTTAGGCTATAGCAATTATTTGATGTTTCCTGTTAAATAACTAAATTGAATACCTTCTACTAGTTGTAAACAATGATCTATCTTTATGGAAAATACAACAACATAATCAGCGATATAAAACAGGTAAAGATATAACAATCTTTCACCCAAACTTTATGTTTTAGGCCATAGCAATTGTGTGATGTTAAATGACTAAAATGGAATGCAAATAATATTTCTTTACTCATTATTATTACTTATATTTGTGGAGAGATAAAATATAAAAATAAAGTATCAAAGACATCGTTTGAATCAAAAAATTGACTTTTTAAAATATAACATAACTGTACGAAGAATTGGCCTACGCCTAAAAGACTAATTTGATGTCTTCTCTCTACAACAAAAAATGAATTGGAAAGGAAATATATTAATATTAGCCACTTATTAAAATTAATTATAATGATTTGTGGGGAAAACTGTAATAAAAATATAAAGGATTAAAGGTCGTTAAATGGTCCTTCGATAATAGTGTGTACCTGACAGATTTTTTACATGTCTTACTGTACATGTCCCAGTTTATCACACCTGTCAGCACGATGTGTATAGTGATTGCAATTTAGAATATGACTGATATTTCAAATTAACTGCAATGAATTGGCTTTTATTCATGATCTGTGACATGACTTGTTAAATTTTGCAATTGAGCTTGTAAGGAAAAGGCTGCTGTATCATTCTGGTAATTGAGTATAACATGGTTCTCCAACGACTATTTGTTTGTATGCATGTGCCATGTTTCATCTTCTAGAAAGACGATTTTAATGCTTATATAATTTATAATTATTTATTATTATTAATTATAATTATAATGATCATTATTAATATCATACCACCTGCTCAGACTCATTGTATTATACTATTCGTTACTGGTCTGAACCATCGGCCGTGGGCCTTGGATTTCCATTAGGAGGGAAATGGATCAGGGAGTGTACAAAATAGACCGACTGTAGTATGGGGGATCTCCTATCGGGGTGGGAATTCCTATCAGGGTCGACGGGGGAGGGCTTGGGTAGGCTATTGTAGAGGTTCCGATAGATAATTAATAATCAATTTCAGACTCGTAATCCTTGAAATGTACTTTTCTGTAAGTCTACCTACATCATGTCATTTTGACGATCTGAAAATGCAATGTCCACTCCCTTCGTATGGGTGATTTGCCACTGTTTGGAGCCCTAACTAGCCATTTGAACGACTTTTTTTTTGTATTACTATTCAATACCATACTGACGAACGATAGATTATTTAAAATGTAAAGATTTTAAATTCCTATTTAATCTTACTATATTCAGTGGATCTTCTTCAAATTTGTCCAATAAAACCAGATATGAAAGATGTGAATTTCAAATTATGCCGTTATTCTACATACAGTGAGCCCTTGTTCCCATTAAGGGAACAAGAACGTGAAATTGTCCGCTTTGATATGTAGACATAGATTCTTTATAATTTTATTTTAATTAATAATAATAATAATAATAACAATTGTCATTTGTATAGCACCTAACCAATTGATCTTACGATATAAATTGAATTAGATTATTGTAACAATAAACTATTTAGATTGCATTACAAGTACAACATTTATTATGACATCAAAATGAATGTAATTAAAACAACAAGTTGTATAAGCCTACAGCTTAATGAATAGAGTAATGACTTAGAAATTATGGCGAGGGTTCCAGTATGGATTTGAATCCTATGAAAGTACACAAGAAATAAAATAAATCCCATGATTCAGAGTCAAATCTTATATGAAAGTACACAGAAAAAATAGACTAACACACACAGTGCAGGGGCGGATCCAGGATTTGAAAGAGGGGGGTTCAAAACGTTTCCAAAAATACTAAAAATGAAAGGGGCGGGGTCCTCCCATGGAAAATTCCCCCCTTGAATCCGCCACTGTATGACTAAAGCTCAGGTGACCTAGGGTTTTAAAACAAATACCGTATATACTCGCGTATAATGGGACGAGGCTTAAAATAGCAAATTACGATTTAAAAAAAAAGTGGGGTCGTCTTATACGCACGACATTCAGATTTTAGATTTTTATAATTATGTTCGTCTTATGTGCGGATCGTCTGTAACACGCGAAATTGCTACTGTAATGAAGCAACTAAATGTTGTATGAATGAAATCAATTTTAAATACGGGAAAATACGATTTTGATGGTGAAGATTTAAAAACTCATAATATGATATTATTTGGAAGATTACCCTTGTATTTGGCTCCATTTATCCAGCTAGATCCAGTATCAGGACCACAAAAAATTAGGATTTCCGACCATGAAACAGGGAGTCGTCTTATACGCCCGACATACAAATATCAACCTAAGATGTTCTAAAAGTCGGGGGTCGTCTTATACACGGGTCACCTTAAAGGACATACGCGAGTATATACGGTATTGCTTATTACGGAACCCCTGCGGAAGTTCGGGTTCCAGTCACGTATAATCAAGTGTCGGTTGTAACAATAAACTCGCAAGACTGCTCGCAACTACTGGATTCTACAAGTGCGTGGTTGGCTTGGTTGTTTTTGGTCGGAAAGGAGAAATTTTCTCTGTGATGATTCTCAAACGAGATAATGAAAGCTCTCTTATTACTCAAGCTACTGTATGACCGTTTTTATATTTTTAATAAAACCAATTTCTTCTAATTTTCAATACGTTTTCCCTGAATTTGTGCTAATTCGTTATCACGCAAGTGCTAAATGCGTGACACATTTATGATCTCGCATGTGCTTTTGCAAAATGCGTGTTTCATCCAAAATCACTTTGAAACGTGGGACTGTCAACGCACGATGCGTGACGGTTGGTAACTATGGCAACTGCCGGGCCCTAGGTAAAATTGCTCATACATTCTGAGATTTTTTTAAACAGATACGGCATTTCAGAAATATCTAAAAATATTTTGTTTAAAAAATTCAAGAATATTGAGAACAAACTATGGTCAAGTCATATATATGTTATCGTTTAGGGCCTATTAGGCATTTCATGAATCTGTGATATAATATAATATTGACAACATCAATAGAACATGATAGGTGGAATTTTGTCCAAACGTCGTGAAAATGTACTGAATACTCAGTGCGTGTGAAAATTCGCTGCTTACTTGGGCTCGAATTCAACCCTGGCCCTAAGGTGCAAGCTCGGTGGTCTAGAGGTATGATGCCAGGCTAGTGATCTGGACAACTGGAGGATGTTGGTTCGAGTCTCACTGGAGAACAACTTCTTGCAAAAGTGTTTTCACACGCACTGAGTATTCAGTACACGACAGGTTGGGTAAAATTACACATATAGGCCCCCTATTGATTCTCCTGACGCAGGTATTGTTTATTCCATCACGATAATAACAATTATCATTCAATAATAGAATAGTCATCGACCTACTTGCAGTAAAGTGAATTTAAAATGTCTTCATCATGAAGTTATGATGATCTTGTTTAAAAACGTACACAATAATAGTTGAACCAATTCTAAAATACCACAAACACAAATGTGCGTGATGATATTTTATTGCTTAGAAATATGATTTCAAAAAGTATAGTGCATTTTTTGCAAGTGTTCTCACGCACTGAGTATTCAGTACATTTTCACGACAGGTTGGTCAAAATTACACATATAAGCTCCCTAATTGATTCTCCTGACGCAAATCCAGGCATTGTCTATTCCGTCACGATAATAAAAGTTACCATCCAATAATAAAACATTCATCGACCTACTTGCAGTGAAGTGAATTTAAAATGTATTCATGAAGTTATGATGATCTGAAGTGTTTAAAATCGTACACAATAATAGTTGAACCAACTTTTAAAATACCACAAATACAAATATGTGCGTGACGATATTTTATTGTTTTAGAAATGTGATTTCAAAAAGTATATTAGTGCATCACGCACTGAGTGCGGTAATTCAATACATTTTCACGACAGGGTGGGCAAAATACATATAGCCCCCACCCCCCCACTAATTGATTGATTCCCCTGACGCAACTCTAGGTATTGTCTATTCCATCACGATAACAAAGATTACCATTCAGTAATACAATAATCATCGACCTAGGCCTACTTGCACAATAATAGTTGAACCAACTTTAAAATACCACAAACACAAATGTGCGTGACGATATTTTATTGCTTTAGAAATGTGATTTCAAAAAGTACATTAGTGCATCGTATACATAAGGGCTTGTTTTGATGTTGTTTTTTTTTTCTTACTTGCAGCATTTGGGAAATAGGTAATAGGTAAATTGTAATTAATATAATCAATAATTACGGTATAGCCTCTAAAACCTAATATTATTGAAAGGTCCTTTTAAAGTTTAAATATGATTTTTTTAAGTCATATTTTTAGATCATAGATAAAGGCAATTAAAAAATAAATAAATTTTAAATTTTAAATTTTTAAAATTTAATTTTTTTTATTTAATTTTTTTTTTTTTTTTTTTTTTTTTTTGCAAACGTGTGTATTTAAACGTATTTTATTTCACGTCGCGATAATCCTGTTGTACACGCGATTCCTGGCAATCGCAGGAAACGCAACATAAAAGGCCAAAGTTCAGACACATGATTTCGTCGAGCAATGCTGGTGCTAGCCTAGGGTTAGAGTAATAATAGGTTTAAAATCAATGTTAATTATCAATTTAATGTAGTGTTACTGATTATGAGATGGAAGCGATACATTTCCACATAGACTTAGGTTTCAGATTTGTTATAATAATGCCATAATGTTTGTAATAGTATAATACACCGCAAACGCATGCGGCATAGCCTGTATAGGCCTAGCTTACCTAGGCCTAGGTCCGACTCGTAGCCTAGGTATGCCTAGTAGTAGTACTATCTATAGGCCTAGCTAGGCAAGCCTAACTAAGACCAATTAGGTGTAAATGTTGCTACCTCTTCTATATGGTGGTAGCTTCGTATTTAGGCTTACCTTCTTTTTTTTTCACCTCAGTCAGTCAGCCTGGAGCAGCAGGCCTGCAATCCTCACCCAAATTTGCAAAGGAAATTTCTAGGAAATAGGTGCATTTTAGGGTTTTTTACATAAAATTATGTACAAGAAACCATCAATGTTGTGATCAGTAAACTTTAAAAATGGTTGTTTGCTGTTCAAAACATGTAATGTTTTTTACTGACAATCTCTAAAAAAATTGTATCTATTTTATGTATTGCAGGTGTAAGGATTAGCCCCTGCAATAGTGTAGATGTCTGAGAAGACAATCAAGAGCCGCAAGGCTCCAACGGCCACCAAGAAATTCACTCAGAATCCTCAAAAAGTTGTTGTAAGGTAAGGCTTAATGCAGTGGCGTATCACTGGCATCATGGATCTTGTGAGCGCACACACCATAAAACAAAGCTTCCCCTCCCCCTTTTCAATATAGGCCCTCCCCACTTAAAATATTATGCTCAATAGTGTTGGGCTATATAGGGTAAAAAAAAGGTGATATTTCAAATACCAAATGTACAGATCTTAAATGAAGCGGCTTATTGTCCTGAACATTTTTATACCTATTTTTAGCCCACTCTCTGAGAGAGAGGGCTTATAATATATGATGATTTTGAGCGAATTTTGAAGTCATTTGTTTTTCTATCTCTTCCTTCGTTTGTGACGCGATTAGGCCAATCTTGCAATAATATGGAAGAGAAGGCTTGGGGAATTTAAAGTATGAAGAGTTTTTGCGAAAATTTTGTCGGGAAATATGTGAAATTATATGTTTTTATATCATATCTCTTAACACTAAGATGGGTTTCCTATAAAAGTGTGTTCGTCATTGATCAGATTGCAAATTGGCTGTATATTCCACATTGTGTTTATCAACCAATCACGGCCTAGAATGGTAAGCTAATAAATGCGTCTGCACGAGTCTAGTTGGTAGCGAAGAATGAGCCGTTTTGTGGTGCTTGCAAGGGTGGGTGGTCTCTCCTCAGAGAGATAAACAATGTACTGTAATGCAGGCTGGCCTAGAGCTAGAGGAAGACGAACTATAGGCTGTCTGGGTAGTACGTGTGTGTAATAGATCAGGTAACAGGAAATGTAGGCTACAACCACATGTATTAAACCACATACCACCACATGTACTGTAATCCAGGCTGGCCTGACGAAAACGAATAAACTGGCTGGGTACGTACGTGTGTGTAGGCCTAGGCTAGGCCCTAGTCTAGATCAGATACTACAGGAAATAAATGTAGGCTACAAGTTGCTTTTATGTGTATTAAACCACACATTCAAATCAGTCAGTAGCGATGAGTGTATGTACAGCACATTTCGTGTTGCCGCACTGTGGTGTGGTTGATGAGGACGTTGCCGTTAGTTAGAATACATGATAGCAAGGTCCCACAAGGAATTTTTGTTCTATTGAGACGGTAGCTTTTCAGCATTGCTCTAGGATGATTTTCATTTACATATGATTTTTTTAGCTTTTCGTACTCTACACTTGGCTATCCGTAGCCAACCACATAGGCCTAGGTACGTAATATATTAGATCAGATGTTAATTACATAAAATGTAGGCCGACAGTCGTATTTAATGGGGGTGGAGTGGATTTCTTTTTTCGCGATTTACCATGGGATGGCTACTGTCATCATTACCTAGACTTGTAGACGCCGTTGTCCATATGGTAATAAATAATGAAGATCGTTTGTGTACCTATTAACTGATGAGGCATGATTAAAAGTGCCTTTCATTTTCAATAGATTACATTCCATTCCAACAATGGTATAACCAGTTGATGGGTAGCCTAGTAATGAGATATTTTGTTTAGATTTCACAGCATGTTCCATGTACCTCCTCCATATATTTAAAATTAAATTATTTAAAAAAATTGCCTATAATCTAGTAATGTACTAGTATATTATTTAATCTAGTAATGTATATATTTAAAAACATATTGGGCAAGTATTCATACTACTTAATACTGTACAGGTGTCATAGATATATATATAATATGGAATTTCTCTACTATTCCGTTTTCCATTTTAATTTTAAATTGTATATATTTTGATATATATATGTATATATATATATGTGTATATATGTATATGTGTATATATGTATGTATGATACCTGTCTCTTATACACATCTAGATGTGTATAAGAGACAGGTGTATATACTGTATATGTATATGTATTTATATATGTATGTATATATGTACATATATAGTGTATGTAAATGTATGTATGTATATATGAACATATATGTGTGTATATACTGTATGTATATGTATGTATATGTATGTATGCATACATGTATGTATATGTATATATATGTATATATATATATGTGTGTGTGTGTATATATGCGTATGTATTGTATATGTGTATGTATGTTTATACACATATACATATATAAATATGTACATATATACACATACTGTACATATATATATATATACATATACATATAAACATATACATACATCAAGATCTGATGTCAGCCAAGAAATTATTTAGCCTTTCTCAAGCAAAGCTGCATGTTTAACTAACAAACAAAGACAAATGATATACGTAATTATAATGCGCCTTTGGAAAAATATATTTCTTCATTAAAGGACCACAATGAAATACTTCTATGCAACAAATTCCATTCCCTCACCAAACTGTCCACTTAAATCATAAACCACTACATATATATCTTCATAATTACAGTACAAAATATTTCAAAAACATACGTACACAACAACCCCTACAACAACCACATTTCCTTTAATATCACTGTACACGACATCACACCTTTTCTAACTGTTACGTGAACATAACAAAAAAGGTCTATGATGATGCATACAACTACTATAACTTTAAAAAAAAATTTTAATGCTCACTACACGTAACAACACTCCACACAACCTCCATGCTCACTAACAGCACTTAAACATTGCCAGCTATTGTCAATTGGGCTAATTGCATCATTGATGCTCTCGTTTATCTTGTATAATTAATTTTTAAGCTTTTTTTGACACCACTAATCATTTCCTCGGCCTCACAAACATATAGACACAAATATTACCAAAATATGACTTCAGATAAAAAAGTTGTGACCTTTTTCATGTATTTTAACCGCAGAAGGGTTCATTTTCCCCCGCCCCCTCAATTTCGTTTTTTGGCCCGCACTGTTCCATTTCTCAACCGATTTTCTTAAAGGTGTCAAAATGCTTAGAACAATATAAGCCACTTCATTTAAAACCTGTACATTTGGTATTTGAAATATCACCATTTTATAGCCCACCACTATGCTCAAGTTGTTAAAATCTCCACATATGACCATATTTTGCCAGATGCCGCCCTCAATTAGTCATTGAGGGCCCCCATGTCAATACAACTACAGTAGGTATGCCACTGGCTCCCTGCTAAAACATAGGCTAACATTTTTGCTTTCTTTCATAATTGGCATTAAATCACTTCAACTACTTTATAAACAAAGCATGATTTTAATTTATTTTTGTATCTTTGAAATTCTTGTACCGTGTAGACTGTAATATCTCGAAAAGAGGCCCATGCTATCTATTTGAGATTTTACCGTATTGATTTATGATTGGACCATAAAAAAATACCCTGTCTGAGCATACAGTGTATGTGAAGCATCATGTGTTTAGGTTTGTCTTCTTTATAAGCATCATCTCTTGGTGATTTACTTGACCCTGTTGGAGACACAAAAAATAAATGAAATAACAAATAAAAGACAATAAATAATGAGTATTCTATTTTTTGCACAGCCAGTAATCAGCATTAGTGCCAACCACATTCAGTTTCACATATCATTTATTTGTCATAATTTAACAGTCGGCAAACATATGTCGTTTAGCTTCATCATGACCAATCAATCATGCTACTCTCAGGATGTTTACATTTTTAATGTTAAATGTTAATGAATGTAGACTAAACTTTAAAAATAAATGCACTTGAACAATTTCTGTACTACCGATATTTCTTTTTTTTTTTTTACGTTTAGTGAAAATTCAGCGTCGCAGAATGTACAATGCTGGGCGCCAGAACCGTCCACCGCTATTAAACTTCTCTGGTCTGCTCGATTCTGTGCGGCGTTACTTAGTAATATAACAGACTGTGATGAAACATTTAATTACTGGGAACCTGTAAGTAATTATTAGTATTTCTTCTTATTCAATACATACTGGAGACCTGTAATTATTAGTAGTATTGGGCAATAATTCAATGCTTAAATGAGGCATGTTGTGGCGAAATGGTTAAGTTGTCACACAGTCCACTGTTGAGTAAATGAGCTAAAAAATATGGGAGCTCAAAAAATTGCTAAAAAATCCAAATTTGTTTTTCACTATAGATCAACAGTTTAATGTCTTATTAATCATGTCTCAAAGTATTAGTTCTGGAAGTGGTTAACAAATTGTTTATTTAAAGTTATTTTTCATAGTTCATTCTATTAAACAATGTATGCACAAATAACTTTGAAAGGCAATTACTCAAAATCCTGTTTATCTTGACTCTAAGAGTACTGTACTTTCACTTTCCAATAACTTAGGCTTGAAATGTCCAATTTGAATGAATGACCCCTCATTTTCAAGATCACATACTCAGGTATCTAAAAATTAAAACTTGAATTTCAATTTTTGCTACAGCTTAGCCATTTTGCCACAACATGCCTCAAATGGTCCTAGGACCAAAAATTTCATATTTTCTTATAGCTTATACTATAGGCTTTCAAGTGAATACATTTTTAATACATTTCCCCTGTAAAATTCAGAGTTTTCATAATATTTTATTTTATGTTATTTATTGTGGCAAATACAAATAAATATATCCTTACAAAAACAAAATATCAGCAATTCATAAACATATAAATATTTTTAATCAGTCCGATGAATACCCTTTGAAAAAAACAAATACAGTAGTGAGACAGGCTTCATTGCAATTTAATATGTTAATTTTGGTGACAGGAGAATAAAGAACTAAAAACAAAATTTTTTTGCGCCTGCCTCTCCTATACAATTTTCAGCACTAAATTACAAACAGACAATTTTTTTAGGCCTAATAGTAATAATAATAATATGATTTATATAGTGTAATCTGTGTGAAAGTATAGGAAATGGTCATGTTATGTTTGCGAAAACTACCACCCACTGTTAACGTGAGAAATAAAAAATGCAAAGAAAGGCAATACAATTGTTCAAAATAGTGGTTATTTAGTTAGCCTAGCTTTCTCTTAGCGTTGTATGCTTTGAAATTAACGTGATCCTCCATATACCTTAGCTAGCTTTAAAATTGTAGCTTAGTTCGCGATTCAAAGACCCTCATGCATACCTAAACAGGCCGTAGATGTGCAGGGGCCTAGGCCTAACATTAGTCCAAAAATCTCAATGTTTGTGGCCAGTATCCTTTAAAGCATTAGCAAACCATTAAGTTGAATTTCAAATCAATTTGGTATAGTTTACTGGGAACTATGATGATCTTTTTACAGCAATAACAAGGGACAGCCGCTCAGTAATCTCCATGTAAAACACCGCTGTGCCAGTCCATTGTTTACATCCAACACCCAAGTTAGGTCTGGTGATGCCCATCATCGAATTGGTCTATTAAAATTAAACCGATATAATACAGTAAGAATAATTTTAAAAAGTATGAATTATCAAAAATGTACAATTGATACAGTATAATGTAATCATTGGACAAAATCCAGTTTCATTTTGATGTCACCTTATGAGTATGCATGGTTTACAAATGAGAAATTTTCATGAAAAATATGAATGTGTAAATTGAAGGTAGTAGCTGTAGTATTGTTGTTATGATATTTGTTTGATTTAGAAAATAATTGTGTTTGTGATACAACTCATTAAGTTCCTAAAAACACTTCAATAATGAAAAGCCATTATTACCATGAAATTGCCCTATTGAAATTCATTATTTTACTAGGAGCCTGAAGTACATATTGTAATTACGATTATATTCATTATGATTTAGGAAATGTATTTTAATTTATAAATTATATCATTTGTCTAGGAGAAATAGTGAGTTTAATCTTTAAAACATATGGAAATTTCTATTGGCTGCACTGTGTCAGTGACTTGAAGTCACTATGTACAAAGGTCTTTAAATTCTTATAGCTTATACTGTAGGCTTTCAAGTGAATACATTTTAAATACATTTCCCCTGTAAAATTCACAGAGTTTTCATAATATTTTATTTTACGTTATTTATTCTGGCAAATACAAATAAATATATCCTTTAATACAAAAACAAAATATCAGCAATTCGTAAACATATAATTATTTTTATTCAGTCTGATGAATACCCTTTGAAAAAAACAAATAGTGAGACAAGCTTAATTGCAAGCATTGCAATTTAATATGTTAATTTTGGTGACAGAATAAAAAAACTATTAAAAAAAAAAACTATATTACGCCTGCCTCTCCTATACAATTTTCAGCATTAAAGCACAAACAAACAATTTTTTTAGGCCTAATATTAATAATATTAATATGATTCATATATTGTAATCCATGTAAAAGTATTAGCCTGGATGTAGTAGGAAATTAGCGGGAAAAAAGTAAAGGAAAATTAATTTTTGGTTTTTCTGAATCAGTATATCATATAGTGTCTCAGAAAAAAAATCCCCATTCTTAGAGCTTGGGCAATTTTT